CAGCGTAAAGAAAAAGGCAGGAGGGCAGAGAGACATCCATCCAGTCAGTCAGTCAGTCCGAGAGACCCGTAAAGAGAGGATGGAAGGAAGGGAGGCAGGAGCGTCTGTCCGGAGTGCACGAAGCCCGCTGCCTCTCTCCTGCTCCTCAGCCTCTTTTTTTTGTCACCATCCGACGCTGCTCGCTGGGGGGGCATTTGGACGGAGCAGAGAGATCCGAGAGAACGCACGTCGTGGGAACTGAACCAAGGACGCACCAACGGGAACTAAGGGGTTTCCTTTTTCTTTAAAAAACAAACAAACAAAAAAACAGTTCTGTTTCATCACCAGCTATAAAACACCAGAGAGGAAACAGCACGAACGCTCCAAGTGTCTTTCTTCAAATAGGAGGGGATTTTTTTTTTTTTTTTTTTTTTTTTTAGATTTAACATCCGTGGAAAGCCATTGTGCATCCTGAGGCACCAGAACTGAACCGTCTTTCCCTAAATCGATGACAGTACACAGGTGCAGAAATGGCGAAACGTTTTCTTTGCGTTCTCCCCTCGGACTTTAAAAATGAAAGAAAGTCCAGTTGAGCTGCTTTGATTCTTTTCTTTTTCACCTCTTTTTTTTTTTAGACACTTTGAAAGTAAGACTTTCCGGTGAACCAAAAGGAGATGACATTTTACTTAAAGATGCAACGGCCATTCAGCCATCTTAAGGGCCCAGAGATCTGGACAGACTTGGGGTTTAACTTTGCAAGTAGCAACCAGTGTAAGGGCATGGAGAGATAACGGTAGCTGTAAGAGAAACTAGAAAATAGGATGCTTTCAAGCAGCAGTGGAGAAAGTCACAAAGTGATTGTGGCTGCAACAATGCCTTTGATACTAAATCAAACAATTGCTAAAAAAAAAAAAAAAAAGGATGGACTTTCTTCTAATGTGGCGATCAGCCTCTACATTAAACAAGAGAGTGTGCTCAAGCATTTTGGGATGTACTAGTTTAGAGGAAAGTTGAACTACAGGCTACATTTGAATATTTTTCATCGCAAAAGAATATCTTGAGGTCTAGTTTTCTGCTGCAACAGCTCAGTTGTTGGAAATGCTCAGTGAGAGAGCTGATTCTTTTCAAAGGAAAAAAGGCAAATCCGAGGCAATGCTGAGCAGTGAGAATGTCAAAAAATAATGCACAGTGCTGCAACCCCCTATCTTGTAGGGAAAAAAGAGAAAGAAAACAGTTTTCAGTGTCAGACGCAGATCATACTGTCAAAGGGCATTTAGGCAGCAGTAGCAGGTGCAGCCATGGGCCTATACAATAACTACCCGTGCACACTTGTGATTTAAATAATCAAATGCTTAGTTTCTCCTTTTAAATCTTGGCAGAGGATACACAGAGTCTTTAGCGACTGATTGTCCAAACGCAATTCTTGAGTAAACTCAAATTCAACCCCAAGAATTGTGTATGGACATCTGTTGCTGCAGACTCACATTCATCACTGCTGTCTTTGGCCAAACGCCACACCAAGAATGTAGGCCTCCAAACCACAAAGAAGGCTATAGAAAGGCCTTTAGACTTGTTTTGTTTTGTAACTGTCTCATTTCAGGTAAGATGCAAGCCACATTTAGGATTTTATGGAGGAAAAGACGCCGGACTGGGCCAATAAAGTGGAGGAAATCTTATTCTGCCTCATGTAATGTGTTATTCGGGGTGTGCGTTGTGGTTGGCCCGATTGGTATTTACACTTTGTCGAAGATCTAATCAAGACTGTTTGTTTAAAATGGCAAATATCGACTGGAAGCATTGATGTATCGACTGTGTTTGGCAAATAGTATAAAGCAGTAAGTTGAGTGCTCACAGAGTGAGGCCTGCATGCAGCACAGAGGCACGTTGTGGGTGAGATGAGCAAAGCTAAAAAAAAAAAAAAAAAATTGGACCATCTCAGACACATGGAGTCATGAACGAGGAGAATAAATACAAATGAACGAGGCAGACAGAATAAATTAAAAGAAAGTTTTCGTTAAAAGCTACATTTGGCTTTAAAAAACGGTTTCTAAATAATTCCTTATAATTTATTAATATATTAAGAGCACATTTAGAGCCTATTAAGGCAAAGCTACAACGCATCCTACAGAAAGGGCACTTAACCACGGATATATTACTTAAAACACAATTTTAAAAACGCATTTAGTGCTTTTTAAGACAATATCAAAGGCAGTGTGCTCAGTTCCAAGGTGTACAAACAGAAAACAGACAGAGCAGAAGAGGCCTGATGACTGAAGCTGCCAAATCTCTGGAGCCAAACAGCGTCACTGATAAATCACGTGGGACACTTTTTGGCCCATTGTTGGACGTTTTTATCGTTTTGCATCCTTTTTTTAAAATGGAATTATTTTGCTGCTTAAAACCAGTTCGAATTATTCTTTTCGAAAACTATAAATTACCTGCAAATTAGGCAAATTTTAATCTTAATAAAATAATACATAAAAACGGTGAAAGTTTTTAACGGTTCATGCAAAAAATATATAAAATATTTGACCTCTTAAAGATAACTTCTTATTTCAAATATCAAATTTTTTTTTTTTTAGAAAACGTCGTAATTTTGTTCACAGACCCATCATTTAATTCAAACACACACACACACACACACACACACACACACACACACACACACACACACACCACAGCCAATGTGTGTGTTGTTGAACATTAAAGGCTAACCTTTCTTAATTCCAGGGGATCAGTGCATCACGTTTGCACAAATGCTTCTGTGTGAAATGACTCTGCTACTGTTTCTCTCTCTATTTCAACAGAATATTGGTATATCCTCTAAATTACAACCGCATATGAAATATTCTAATATCGGAAGCCTGTTCTTAAAGAAATGCATGATTTATGCAAACGTTTTTTTTTTTTTTTTTTTTTTTGGTGTTACGTGTTAACAAAAAAAACAACAACAGCAGCATAACAGGGGTGTGTTTCCCACCCAGAAATCCTTTTCTTAAAATAACAATCAGAAGGCTGTAGTGATGTTATAGAGCTGAGTCTTGTAACATTTTGATTGTGGCGAGAGATGCAAAAAAAAAAAAAACCTCTAATCAATCAATCAGTTATTTGCAGGCTGTGAGCTTAGTTTCCATTAGTTTGTGCAGTTTAGGCTGTATATATTTCAACACAGTGTTTTGTCCACTTACAGATAACATGCATTGAGTCTCAGCACTGAATTCCCTGCAGGAAACTATGGGAGCCTGTGAGTGCAATAGGAAAACACGATGGAGGGTAAATCTGGCAACAGTTGCTTTTAGCGTAAAAAAAGAAAGCAGGCAGGTGTCACTTTATTTATTATTTATTTATTTAATAAAATATGTTTTCTCTTATCGCATTTCGTAAACAATCTTAGATGACACAAGAACATAGCCTACACTTACATGTTTAATTAGGGGTTTCAATTTGGTCATCATTATTGAAATATTAGGAGTAAATATATGTTTACTTTAATGCAGGGAATGCATGTTCGTTTTGCTGTTTTTTTGTTACAGAAAAAAAAAGCATTTTTTACACAAGAATCATCCGGTTAGCCTTCTCGATAAAATGCTATTATGTAAAATCATAGTCTTGTAGTTTATTTTTATTGGCTGGTGTTTACTTTATGGCGGTGTTACCACAGACTGGAGATCACATGCGCTTTTTTACTATTTTTTTTACACACACTGTTGTAACCTGGACTGTTCAGAGTCCTTATGATCCATGTGTGTGTGATGTGATGGTGAGGCCAAGTCAACTCACTCACCAACAGCATCGTCACCAGCTCTCCTGTTGCAGCCAGTCAGTGTGTGTGTGTGTGTGTGTGTGTGTGTGTGTGTGTGTGTGCAGGCTGGGGGGCACTGGTTTAGCCCAACACCCCCCGCGGAGGCCCAGGTAATAGTCCAAACCCTGCAGGAGTAATGGAGGAACTCCAGTATTTAGAGAGCTCTCTATAGTTCTGTGACAGTGGAGAGTGAGAGGGAATAGGATGAGGGTGTAAACATGATTTGCACATAAATTATGGAAAACTAACCACTGGATAGAAGATACAATTTAAAAAGATTATACACTCTTAAAAAAAATAAAAAACTTTTAAAGCTTTTGTGTTCTTAATATTGGGGCCAAATAATTCTAAAAAAAAAATTAATGGTGGCCTATAAAGTCTATGCACACAGAAAAATGTCCTATATCATCTCTGTAAAAGTCTCCCTCTCACACACTCAGTGTCCCAGGCCTGCACTAGCTGACACAGTGTTACATTTTCTCCTCTCTAACCCCCTCGCAGCCTCATTAGCATTTCCTTTCTACCGGCCATTATCGCTCGGTTTCCCGTTGCAAATCGGACTCCACAACCGAGAAAAGGTTTTAGGTCGCCCCGGGCGTTCAGGGGAGGGCAGCCCGGAGGCTAGACCTCGACCTCCCGCAGTGGTCCTGTAGTTCACACCCCACCCACCACCACCATCACACTCACACACACACACACACACACACACACACACACCCTCCACCCCCCCACCTCTTATGAATATTCCAGCTGAGTGGGGCTATAGGACGGTAAAATCTCCCTCAAGTCTCGTCTAATCAGCCTAAAACTGCAGTGTGATCACAGAGCTGGGCTTAAATCGATCAGATATAAGCTATCACCAGGAATTATCGAAGCGTGATGTTAAATTCTAATTGAGAAAAGCGTTTGCTACAGGCCTGTGTGCGGTACAGGCTGCTGGAGCTCCTTGCAGCCAAAACTAGACTTTATGGTGACACTGTAAAGTGTAGAAACACACAATGTGGTGTTTGGGACTTGAAATATTTATAACATTTACATTGGAGGATGAAAATCATAACATAGACGACTGTATAGAAATTCACTACAAACAGATGATTCACTGCAATTGCAATACTCTTTGTAAATTAAAGAGTAGGCTAAAAATTCATTTCCATAAATAAAATATATGTTTAAATTGTTATTTCTCTACTGTGTTAATAACTGAGAATATTCCATCCTGTTAATGTTAGTGAAATCAACAAATAATACTTTTTTAATGTGGAAAAATACTTTTAAATTTCAGAATTTACAGTATAAAAGCAGATATAGGCAGTTTATTTTTTTTAAAAAAAAAGCTTTTAATCTGTTTTCATTTTGTTGGGGGAAATATCAGAAGCAATAAGAAGAATAAAACATAATAAACAAAATATATTTTTTTAATCACATACAAGTAAAAAAAAAAGGAGAAATTTTTTTTTTTTCCTGTAACACTGTATTTGAACACTCCCCAAATTTATTTTTCCAAGCACTTCATAAACATTTAAGGAATTGTTTATTACCCACTATAAAGGCAGTTGTAAACACAGAAAATGTGAGAAACGGACAACAACTGTAACTCCACATGTGAAGCATCCATATCTGGCTATTGGTGTATAACCATAAAATGTTGTAATTGTTGACAAATACATTCAAAAACACTTAAAATGTCCTTATATATCTGCTTACAAATACATCTGTTATAAACAATTTAATAAATGTTGACATGCGGCTCATGTAAAGTGTTACCTTTTCTTTTCTGTCCTGGCGAACAGAAGGTCATTGTGGCCCCCACGATAAGGTCATTCTGTCTTTCAGTCATGCTGGAGGAGCAGATGCAGGGAGATGAAGGTTTACACGCCAACTGTAGGTATTTACACTTGCACCTGGGTGGTTGACCAGTACAACCAGAGCTTCACATGGCTGCCCTTTAAACCTGTCCGGCTCGATTAAAAAATGTTGGTATTTACGCAAACGTCCACAGAATTCCAGTCTCACAGTTTCCACATTTATTTTTTTTTGCTAACCATCTTTGAATTTCCACTCATTTTTGCAGACCAACATCAATCACCTCAGATGTCATGGTGCAGGCTGCACATCCACAGCGTCCAATGGGGTGACGTGTTGTTGAGATGTGGGGCGGGGGGAGTGAAGAGTGCAGAAGATGTGGTGAAAAGGCAGTTACAGAGATGTTAAGGATATGTTTATATTCCGCATTTCATTTTCTATCCTCCATGAAGAGTAGAAATAAACACAACATTGTCTTGGTCTTGTAGTTGGTAGTCCAGCTCCCCCTGAGGATTAGAAAATACACAAAATATTCAATATTCACACAGAAATGTCTGTCTTTACTTTTACAAATATGTGTATTACTCCTGTGTTACCATTGTGGGCCAATCAAGGACAAACTTTTCATTTAATTTACATCCTGTGTTGCGTCCTGTAATTGAATCAGTGGATTGAAATTGAAGCGTTCAGACTGTGTGTGCATGTAAATATGTGTTCAGATATGAGACCCCAAGGACAAACTTGTCTTGCAGCTGCTTTCCAATGATATGAAACATTAACTGACTCTGAGAAAATGAACAATCTCAGTGAACATATAGGGCTAACCTTCACACTCACACAGTCCTCACAAAACGTCCACACAAGCATTTCTAAACAGTTATAGGGATCTAAACATGAAGACATAAAGCTGTATACATGATCTTCAATCATTTTACACCATAATAGTACATCCTGAAAACAGACAACATAGGTTAAAAGAACTTAAAATTAAAATAATGCGTGTATTCTACAAGCTGCTGGAAACACATGTACACTCTGTACACCATCTGACAGTGAACGTGGCTCCCAGTGCTCACCATTAGCTCCCAGTCTGCATCATTGATAAGCACCAGAATCCCAGGTCTCCTGTGGGAAAACACATTGTTTTGAGTCCGACACATTTCCCAAAGGAAAACACAGACACAAACACACGTACACATATGTGTAAAAGACACAAACAGGTAGAGCAGGAAAGCCTTCACAGATGCACAGAAAAATGCAGATACATAAAAAAAAAAAAAAAAAGAAAACACACAATATAAACTTAACTTAAAAGAGAAATAGAAATGTATTGCTTTCTCAGGCAGGAGAATTTATTTTCCCTCTGAATGTAAGCCTGTCCAATTAAGCCATATATTGAGACAGCCTGTGTTACAACAGTTATAACTACAGTAATGTAGTTTGCTTATAAAAAACACAAATATATTAAAACACCTGAAAGTAACATTTAAAAAAACAACAACATTTTGCTGTTTCTACTGAAATCTTTTCAGGACATACATATATATAATATATATAATATATAGCTAAACATAGCGTAGAGAAAATAAGAAATCAAGTCTGATGTTTTAATTTTCATCACTTCACTGTATAGAATTCCTAGACACTTAGTGCATTGAAACAGCTCTATCTATGAATATACATAGAGCTCTTGTATTACAAATCACAAATTCCCAAATTGTTTTCTGGTCAACAAGGACTGATAGTAATGACGTTTTTTTTAATATAAAAGAAACATAAGAGACTCAGGTAACAGAGTAGATTGTGGAGGGGAAACAAACTGTCACTAGAAATGAATGGGGGCCCAAAAATAACAGAAGAAATAAATAAATAAACAAATAAAACCGCCACCCTTCAGAAGAGGATAATGGGGGTAATGGGGGAGGGTAACAACAGGCACCTATGGGTGCAGATTTAGTACGGTGTCAGGTTTTTTTTTTTTTTGTGAAGGCCACAGAAGAAACTGAGTAATGTGGATATCGAGATAATGCCTGGAACAGACACTGATGCCTCTCATACTGTTCAAGTGAGCTTCTCTCCACCTTGTGGATGCTCTATGACGTCAATGAGAAAGGGCAATGTGAGAGGAACCTGTGAGTACAAACATGTGGCTACACAAACACACACACAAATACAAACACACAAACAGGGCTGCATTGAAATGGATGAAAATATATATTTTTTGAAGGTATGGATTGTAAATTGTAATCACACACAGCATCCATATATCTTTTTTTAAAAGATAATGAAGAAAACATCTTGATGATGGTTTGCTCAAAAACTCTGTGTTCTGCCAACACAGAGCACACACAAACACACATACATCAAATCTATAAGGTTTATAGGTAGGCCAGCTTTTTCTTCATTCATTGGTTAGGTGGAGCTATAAATAGTCCTGCACAAAGGCAGCTGTAAAAGTCAGCCAGTCCTATAAGACTGCTGTGAGCCCTGGACCCCCCACACACACACACATATATATATATATATACATACGTGTGTGGGTACAAACACACAAGCTCACATGCACACACACAATTGCACACAAGTAATCATCGAACTGAAACCCATAACCTGAAGGCCAGACCGTTTTCCCTCCAGCATTTCAGCAGTTTTAAGTAAAAAAAATACTTCAGAAAGCTCCTCGACTCAGTTATATTTTAAAATGTACCATATATTGAAAGCTCTTCTTTCAATATATGGAAAGTAAATGTATTTAATATTATTTATCATATTTGGCAGTTAAGATTTTTTTTTTCCAGTGGTGGTGTGATGTATAACATATCCTTTTAGGTTATCTTGCTGTACACAGATCAAGTGTGTGTCAAGTGCACACACACATACTCACACAGAGTCTCCTTGGACAAAGAGCTCGGGCCGTTCCTTCAGCAGGTTCCGTTGGATCCAGACCAGCAGCTGCTTCACGTCCCCTGGAAAACACACACACACACGCACACACACAAATATAAAGCCCATACACACACAAAGCCCATACACAGGCAGACAACAGAGGTCACAGGTCAGGGGTTAGGGGTCAAGGTGCATGGTTCCAGCCCCCTGGTCGATGTGACGCGACGGTAGCACCAGGCGGGACAAGGCTGTGTATATGTGTGTGTGTGTGTCTGTGTGCATGTATATTTATGAGTGTATGTGTATGTTAGGGGGGAAAGGAGAAGGCACTGGAAATGGGGGGAGGGTTGACTGATGTCAATGGCCAAGAGCGACATTGTTCACCTTGGTTAGAGAGAAATAAAATGAATGATTTGTGTGTATTAATCTAGAATCGACTGAACAGATTAGAAAACAAAGACCATCCACAGCGTGATGTGTAATTTTCGAAGGTTAAAATAATAATAAAAAAAAAATTATATTAAGCCAGACATTTTCCAAAAGCATCTACTTCTTTTAAAATAGAAATGCAATTAGATTTCTTCCAAGCCTCATACTTTGTAGTTAAAAATTTGCGCAGGACCAAAAAAAATTAACAGAAAATCCAATTTCGCAATAATAATTTTCTTTGTTAGAGTCGGACATTAAACCGTCTGAGCTTGAATATCAGCGATGCTTGAATTTTCTACGAGTCTGACCTCTCGAACAATCAGATTGACCTTGTCTCAACAATAGGTTGAGCCTCACTCAGGCTGGCTGACAAAGAGAGTTTTTAGGATAAATCCCCCCTAAACAACTAATAATGAATATATTACAGTTATGGTGGCCGTTAACATTAAGATCCAAGGTGGTGTAAGAGCTTTTGATTCTCTGTGTATTAGTGCTTGGCGTGTTTTTCTTACAAAACTGTACGTTTTGTAAGGAAAATAGTGGAATAGTATGGACACATGCCACAAAACACACAAATATAGTATTTTCCTGTGAGCATTTCCTGGTTGTGTGTTCGAGTGTGCGCCGTGCGTGTATGTTCACGGCTGTCTAGTTAATGTACAGGAGAAGGACGATTCGCAATAACATTGAGAGCAGGACTGCCATTTCTGCTAGCCATATCTCTCTCTCTCTCTCTCTCTCTCTCTCTCTCTCCACACACACACACACACACACACACACACACACACACACCATCAAAATGTACAGTATCGGCCTCCTTGACCAGTTTACACAGGAACAGAAGAACAGGGGGGGGGGCAGAGAAAGAAAATAAATAGGAGAGGGAAAAAGAGCAAATACATGACAAGAGAGCAGGAGAAGGAGAGAGCAGCAGCAGATGGAGCAGATACGAGGGTATGAGGACGACAGCGAGTCCTCCCAAACCAGGTGTAAGAGAGCTGTGATGTCGAAGCAGGTAGGCGTCGAACCACGCAGGGATTCCCCATGTTCAGCTGGACCAAAGGCAGTGCTAATATCACGTTAAACCAGCACAAAGGCTACAGTTTTTACATGAAATACATTCAGAAAAATGCAGGAGAAAAAATGTTGCCTGCTCACAGTAAGGTCAAATGTGGATTTTATTTTACATTTCAAGGAATTTAGATTTTTTAGATTTATAGAATGTGGGCTTACATTCTGCATGTGTGAAATTACTGAGACTTTGGTGTCGAACATCTTCCAAAAATTCACCAAAATACAATTTTTGGCTCCACAAAACAGATCAAAATGTTTCTTTAATTATCTGTGGAAGAGTTGCCTTAAAAAGTTTAAGGTTTAATATATATTCATCCATAAAATTGCAGAAATGACAGTGCTCCCATTTTAGTAAACCAATGCTTGATTACAAACCCATAATACAAATACCCAGAAGATGCAATAAAATTAAATATAAACGAAGAAAATGTAAAAAAACCCACAAAATTATGAAAGAAAGAAAGGCCTACTTGCGGCATTTAGCTTGTGACAATAAAAGATTCATGGATCTCTAGAGGCACCAGCCCGGTCACTGTGGCTATGAGAGCAACAGACTTGAGTGGATGATATGTGATGTATAAAGGTGTGTGAGAGCGGGTGCGTGTGTGTGTGTGTGCGTTACTGCACATGCACCCCCAAGTCTGTGTGAATGGCGTTCAAGTTAATTGCAGTGCTGTCGGCCACCTCAGTAGTGTAATGATAGTGCTGGTTTTCTACGGTTCCAGGACTCCATATAAAAAAAAGACAAATACCTCCCCTTGCAACACACACACACACACACGCATACACACACACACACGCATACACACACACACACACACACACGCATACACACACGCACACACACACACGTGCACACACACACACACACACACACACACACACACACACACACACACACACACACACACACCAGAGTACTAGGTAGTGAATATTGACCTACACCTCTGCAGGGCTAAAAACAGAACTAATCACTACAGCAGTCATAACTCCTTCTTTGTGGTGACTCCTTTCTTTGCTCTCTTTCTCTCTGCCTTTGACTATTGGTAATTTTTCTCCACCATTACCCCTTATTCGCTCTTTCATCCTCTCGCCCCCCATTTACTCTTTCATTTGATCTCTCTCGCTCTCTCCGTCTCTCACACACACACTCTCACACACTCTCTTTAATTCTCTCATAAAAACTCTCCTCCCCTCTTTCTCTCCTTCATCTTTAGCTTTGTCTTTTTTTTTATTTCCCTTCCCCTAAACACACGCACACACGCAAACATGTAAAAAGTTGCACACAGAAAATAAACAGGCCGTCTTGGCTCGATAGGCAGGTCGATAATAATTCAAAGTTTCATCAGTTAAGATTTTTATAACAGAAACAGTCATCAGGCGCTGCCCTTTTAATGGCTTTCTTGTAAAGGTTACACACATTTAAATCATCCAGTCTGAGCCCAAAAAGACGGGCTTATATAAATAAACTGTGTGAAAAAATGCAATGTAAAGATAATTAGCAGTTAGAGAGGTGAAAAGGAAAGAAGGACGGCACAGACGGACAGAGGTGAGGGTTTTTGATGGCGCTTTGAGGTCCAGGTAGAGGGGGAAAGGAATATGAGGGCGCAAACGGACAAGCGAGAGGGAAAATGCGTCACCGGCTCCTAAAGCATCTTGGGATAGCTGCGTTGCGTGGGTGGAAAGGAGACACGGAGGGAGGGGAGGGAAAAGGCGCCATTTTGACACCGATTCAAAACCGTGCCCGCTTTTTCTTTTGTGCGTGCAGTTTTTCCCCCTTCCTTCTCCTTTTGCTTTTCTGTCTTTGTGCAATTATGATGGTCATGTGAGGGGGGGGATGAGCTATCCATCTTTCTGCTGATGTGAGGGGCAAAAACTGTGTGATCCTTAGACCACGGGGGTTTTGTTATGAGTGTGTGTATGAGATAGAGAGAGAGAGGTAGAGAAAGAGAGAGAGAGGTAGAGAAAGAGAGAGAGAGAGAGAGTGAGTGGGGGTGGGGTCTTTCAGTCGAGGGTCATCAATCACCGGCTGGGGTCAAAGAGAAATACGAAGGATTCAGAACCAATTATATCTGCCTTCACTGCTGCACCCCTTCTGTACTAACACACCCACACACACACAGACACACACACACACACACACACACACACACACACACACACACACACACACACACAGACACACACACAGACACACACACAGACACACACACAAGTAACTCGAAATTAGTTCGGTGCAACATTTTCAGGATCAGCAAACCTGCCAGACACACAAACTTAAGATCACAATGAGCAAATACAGCCAGGAAATGTTATGTCAAAATGTCCGTGCTCTTGTGACGCTAAAATGATGAACTTTGTGCACCACATGGCAAAACCTCAGATTTTCTAGTGCTGTGCACACACACACACACACACACACACACACACGCACATGCACACACACGCACACACACACACACACACACAAGCAAGGTCATATCTGCCTGACATTCCCTGTTCTGGTCAACTTTTGTCTTTTTGTTGTCGTGGTAACATCAGCGCCATGGATGAACACCCTTTGTTTAGTCAAATACCAAAGACACATATTTCTTTCATTTGTTCTCTCTCTGTCTCACATATACACACACACATACACACACAGACATACACACAGAGACACACACACACACACACACATAAAATCACAAGACATTTTAACTTCTAGGCAACTGCCATTCACAGCATTCACTTTTCCTCTCCTTATTTTCTCAATGGCCCGGGTCCTGAGGTGAGTTTGGGGAGTAAAATCGGGCTGCAGGCAGGTTTTCCTTTGACTCTTTCATGCTGAATTTAGTGACCCATATGAAGGAACCTGAATCCCTCAGCAAAATAAAATCTAATCAATTTGGATCCAGAGGTGGAAAAGTTTTTATGAAATGAGAAATGAGAACATGCCTGCCAAGTCAGCCAAAATGACCTCAGACTCAAAGAGTGACTCGCTCACAGAAGAAAAACATCCCTTTTACCGCCTTTACTATCTCAACTGACGTCTCGACATTACCAGTGGACAACGTTTAAAGTGAGAGAGGCAGAAAGGATCAGTTTGGAAGCAGAACAGGAAGCAACACAGATAGAAAGGGTGATGGAAGGAAGGAGGAACAGGATGAGAAGAAAAATGATGGGAGGATAATGGCTGGTGGGAGGAAGTTATAACAGTGTCAAGTGCAAAGGGAAAGCTATTATATGGCTTATTTACATTTGTTTTAAATGCTGGTGATGGGTAAATATAATAGCAATGGAATAATTTTAAATACTGACCCGTCTAGTTGCCAGATTTTCCTGTTGTATGATACTAGCATAATGCCACCGAAACATGGAACTCAAATGTCTGATATCGATGGAATATCAATTAAGGTCAATCTGAAGTTATAAAATCCTGTTATAACACTGTTGTGTTATATAAACAGATACAATGCAAGGATATTTTAAAAAGATTTTAAAATTTTCTGACAAATTTGGGATGAAAATAAACAAGTATTCATAGTTTGTGAGGCGTAATTAATAAAGTTTTAAAAAAGTGATCGACAGTGTGATTTGGTTTCTTAATGAAATCTATATTATATCTTTAAAAACATTTATCCTACCTGCCAGGAAGGAAGCAACTGGTTTTCATTAACTTCATTACGTTGTGACCATCAACATGATGAGGCTTCAAACTTGACATGTAATCCATTACGCTGAACCTCGTCATCTAGTTGTACTTTTTTTCATTTAACTTGCAGTAAAAAGTTGTCATTTGGCAGGCGAGATGCTAATCTGCAGTAAACGGACTAATGGCTGCATAAACACTGGGCAGGACCCTTAAGTGACAATTCTAAACACTCATTAGGAACATGTGTCATCCTTGGGTTTCCTGAGATGCGGCTATTTGACATTTTGTAACCACAGTCTGTAAACACACCAGTTATGCACATGCACATGCACAGACAGGTGATACTCACAGGGGTCCGATTGGCTTGGAAGGGTCACATGATGTTCCTTCACACCATTAAAAAGCAGCTCCGCTCCGCCGCTAGACAAAAGAAAGTCAGATAGATCAATGGAGAGTGGTTTTGTGGCTTTCCATCACCAGCCGTCTAACAACACTTCAGATTTTATAAAAACAAAAGCACACTGTGGTGTTTTTCCACACAACACAGGAATAACTGTTAATACAGGAATAATTGGGTACAGGAACTACTGTTTTACCTGTTAACATAACATGAAGTCTAGAAGAGTTGAGAGTACGTAAAAGTTTTAGTAAATAAAAATACTGCTGTTTAATCCTGCCGTTAACGCTCATGAGGAGCATTAAGACAACAGAAAAAGAAGTCAGAAGTAGATCAATTCTTATGTCCCCACCATCAAGGTAAAAACACCTTTTACAGATAAACAACGCACATACATTTAAGTGACTTAAACAGGTTGCAGGATTAAATATAGAAAATCCATTACTCAAAGGGAAAAAGGTTGTGTATGTGTGTTTCAGTAAAGAAACTAGGGGTCTCGAAAGAAACCATTAAGACAGGGGACAAATAGAACTGAATAAATGAGTGAATAGACATGATGAATGCAGATGCTTTCATAAAGGACGGAGAGAGTCAATGAATAGTTTGTAGATTGAAAATGATGTGAACACCTATAGAAGAATGGAGGTGATTCCAGAGACTAGGAAGTTTGTTTTTCCTTTAAATTGTCACTCATCTGTATATAATGTAAATGTTTTTATATTTGTCAACTGTCATTCTCGATATTACATTACATTACAGTCATTCCTTTTTTATCTCTGCTTGCATGAAGCAATTGCGGACAATGTTACAAATCACTGAGCATGGCAGCTTTATGACAATATTGTATTTTTTATAGAATTTTGTAGTACGATTAAGTTCTTGTCAGATATTTAATTCACTGAATGATTTTTTCCATTGATTTTCCAGAAAATTAAGTAATGCTTTATTCTAAAGGTCTGTAACTTTCAGGGGAAGTTTCCAAAAAAAAAACTGAAGGTAATTGTGTAATAACTGTATGTACTGTTACTGGTGCTCCTTGTTTGTATTCATTTTACCTGATAAATGTCTGAAGACAGAACTCTTGTTAACTGTTAAGAGATTTGCATGATGATTTTTTTATTTCTTTCACAAGACACAAGAAGTTTATGATGATGTTTAACACACCTGTCCGTTAGGCTTTATGGGTTGCAACTGTGAAGAGACAGTAAATATTGGTCGAATGAAGACAAAGGTCAGAAATAGTCATTTCAGATTTCAGTTATCTAAGTCGTGAGTCTACAAACAGTTATTGAGCAGTTTGTCTTAATGACAGGAACAACTGACACTTTAAAGCTAATAAAATATTAATCTATGATTGGGTCTTTTCTACCAACTGATCCTTTCTATGAAATAAGAGGGAAATATGGCACCCACAGTCTATTTCTGTCATATTTAGTGTTTTTATTGTTCAGGGATCATACCAAATCCAAACTAGAGACTTGATGTTGGCTGCTGTCAAGTCTTTAGGGAGAAAAGTCTCAAACCTGACTTTAATCCAAGTCATGAAGTCCATTTTATTCTGTAGTTCATTGATTATGCTCAGTAACAGTCGTGGCTTGTTGTTGCCAGACAGACTTTGCACATCCGTCTGAAGCTGCTGAGAGGAACGGTGTCTGTGTCTCTCCTGGGGGAGGGAGGGGGGAGGGAGTGAGATAATCTCAGTGTTTAATGTTTTACAGGCTGCACAATGCAGCGTGGGCAGAATAAGATGTTAAAACACAGTCAGCTGACAGTAATACTCATTTTAGTTTGGTTCAGTTCTCTCTCTCTCTCACACACGATGATGGATAATTCATAAACAAACTCAAAACTCGCAGACAGCTGGTTGTTACACTGACTGGAGCTCCTGTTTAAACAAACGGAGGATGGCGACACAAACACACACTCATACAGCAGCGGTCCTCTAACGCTTTGTTTCACATTATACCGATACAGGCAGACACACGTCCGGGGTTTCTAAAAGGGTTTTAAATTCGCCTACCCAAACTCCAGATGAATCGCTATGGGCGCTGCCATACTGTCGGCACATGCAGGAAGTAGAGGAAGGGGAAGTCGGAAGTGACGTATTCGGATACGTTTTCCCCAGTGTGGTTAGAAGGAGACAGAAATCTGAAATTATTATTGAACAAGTATTTTGTAGATAAAAATACGTGGTACAGCCTCCTATAATTAAATATATATAAATATATATATATTCACTATTCACAATATAGTCCACTACACAGTGCTGCCTGTGCCAGTCAATGTTTTAAAATTGTGTTCATGTAATTATCTCTGTCCCTACCAATTTAATAGTTTTGTTTATGTCTATAGGCTAAATATATGTTGCTCAATTGCTTTCATTTTATTGTGTGTGTTATGGTTCATTGAGATCTTTGACCTCAACATGACAAGCTTACAGGTTTTTGAGCAGCTGATATTTAAATTTGAATTTTTATTTTAATTGTTTCCAGAATTTCATTTTTTTACACTTTCAGTTATAAACCCAAACTTGGCCCTGTAAGCATTTTGGACATGGTTCTAATCTGCACAACCCCAGAGTCAGCACTGAAAATCGAAACTCTTTTATCCCAAGGCAAGGAAAGTTTGTATGTTTAATGTAATTTAAAACATAAAGAAAAACAGCATAAAAACATTAAATAAAATTAAAAAGAATAGATATGTTAAAAAGTTTAGAGGCGTAAATACATAGGAGAACAAAATGAGCATATCAGATTCAGTCAAAGCCATAAGCAGTTTGTTCCAGCTCTGTGGTGCACATAGTTAATGCTCCTCTATGTTTAGTTTGCACTCTGGGAACAGTTAGCAGCCCCTCTACCTGATGACCTGAGAGACTGAGAGGGTTCAAAAGACAGTCAGAGGTGTATTTTGGTCCTGAGGGTAAAAATAAGTTAAATAAATTGTCTGATGCACTTCATTCTAAGCCAAATTACTACAAAGCCTTATGGTGGTGCCCCCATTTATGAACTAGTATTCCCTTGGACTTTGGACTTTATTTTAGAAAATCATTATATTTGAAAGTCATTAGTATATACAGCACTCTTTCTCTCACACGTCCTGTGCACGTGCATTGAATTTGCATTGTGTATGTCAATATGAAACTATGCAGAGGCATGACACGAGTGTGTGAATGCACATCTGTCTCTCTCTATATCCCCTCTCTCCCTCTATCCCCTCTCTCCCTCCTTACATACATCCTCAATCATACTGGTGACATTTCCAGTCCCAGTATACAGGGGCTGGGACGAAGAGGTGGGGGTGGTAGAGGGTCGGTCAGAGGTTTGAATTGCAAATCCGCTGCCTTCTGTTGGCGTCCAAGCCTTAGTAGGCCCTTCCCTGTTTACATTCATGTGTTAATGAGGAGTCAGTGCAGGGGCAGATAGACAGATCGACCAGGGGCCTGGCAGGGGGGCAAGGGAAGAGTGAGGCGTGGATGAAAACCACCAGGCGGGAAAACGAGGGGGTCCTCTGATGGTGGAGGCCGCAGTGGCAGTCTAGAAAGATAATGAAGACATGATGTGTACCATTCGTGGTAGCAGCATCCTCACAAGTGAAAACAGACAGGGTGAGCCCAGTGGGAGGCAACACAGGCAGAAGATGGGGAGTGGGTTGGATTGTTACGGTTCTAAGTTTCCTGAGTTATCCAGGAATTATCACAGCATCACTGCATGTCACGTCACATTTGCTAAGCTGCTTTGAGGTTCACCTAAAGCTGTGGATGGTACACTGCGCTTCCTCTGTTGTTCTGTTGATGGATTTCTTGTGCTTTCTTCAACCCTGTACATGTATCTGATAGGTGTACGTAAAAAGTTGCAGTACTATTTAATATGATTCTTTGTTTTACAGGTGTAGATATTCAAATTAGATTTTGAATCAAGATTCTTTTGGGATATATATATATATATATTTTTACCAGGATGATGTGAAATAGCTGTTAACTTCAGCCTTTGTGGATATGCTCAGTCTAATGTCCTTGATGGTGTGTTTGTAAAAATTTGAATATCCTGTTAAAAGGATCAGCTTTCATCATCCAGTGCCAATATTCATATATTCCTCTGGCCTGGACTCACTAAAAATGTAATTCACTATGAAGTCAGACATTTTTTATTATATGTTTTTAAATTAGATTATTATTTTTTTCCGTGCAGGAGTGGTGGTGACAAATACTATGTCTTGTATCTCTTTCCTCCATCATCTTCACCTCAGCCTCTCATCCTCAAAATTGAATCTGATGTTCCTTGAAATTCAGAAAAAATCATATTCAAGCAAAATTACAACCCTAAATCCACTAAAACAGAGGCAAATTTGAATCCCTTTCTCGCCCCCCACCCCCATATCTGCCTGTAGATGGATGTCAAAAGTCAATGCTACGCTGCCAAGCACCAGCTATAAAGCAGCCAGGGTCACACATGATCAGATGACAATGACCGACACAATGGATTTAGCTGTAAAAGGACTGGGGGGAGAGATTAGGGGTGAATTGATGACGGTTGGCTGGCTGGTTGGCTGGCTGGCAGGCCTGGGAGATCTTGGGTCTGTTTCAATAAGGAACATAAAGAGCTGAAATTAACATGTACCATGATACCAAGCAGAGAGAATCCTCTTAGAGATTACATCCATAACATGTTACGCCTATGGAACTGTATGGAAAGGGGAGACAAAGAGCAGAGCGAATGATCATTTTCTGTTGTAGCAGATTATGGGGCATCCTATTCTTTTCTATTCTGATGGATTCTATTGTGTCTTGTTTTGTTCTTTTCTGTTCGACATCATAGCTTTCTTAATGTCACAAATGCAGCAATTCCTCTGTTTTCTGCTTTTCCCAGGAAATGTTTCACCTGGAATAAACCCCCCCTCGGTATAACAGCTGCCAGGCCACACTGCTACCTTCTTCATGAAAGGGGTAAGCAGCAAGAGCAACAGCAGTATTCTTGCAACATCTGTGTTGTGGCACACGTACACACACATGTTGACAAAAGCACACGTTGATACAAAAACACATGCATGCACACATACGGACGCGCGATCACACATGCATGGATACACACACACAGTCCATCTGTCTTTGTCTCCCTCCCACTGCCATTGCCATGGTTCTGTCTGCAAAAAAATGTGTGATGCTTCACACAACACGCATGCTCAGTGCAATTCTAGCAGAGCATTTTCAGTTAAACACAAGATAGATTGCAGATTTGATGCATTGTGAACATTAAAAACACTAATAAAGGAACTAAAGTGCCCAGGAGGATGCATGGTCCAAGAAACTAGTGGACAAACACAAGGATGTTCTTGGGGGTGGAACATTAAAACTCAGGAAGTACTGCACTGACCGACACCTGAACTGGACCAGGAACCAGGATGCTCATGACTACAATTGGCTGGATGAGAAGAATTGTGAACCGTGTATAAGAGAAGGGTCAGTTCTGGGCTGACAGTGACAGTGAAATGCTTCCCCCTGTTGGTGACCAATCTGCATCACATGAGCAAGGTCCTTTACATTGATCAGTTCTAGAATAGTTGTTGCTTAGTATCTTCATCATTCATACTCATCTTCCTTCTATAACAAGACATTTGGAGAGTGTGTTTATATAGCTAGAAGGATATGTCTGACAATATTGTATGTATGTCTTTTATTTCTTCTTCTTCTCTTACTTATTTGATTTTTCTAACAATTATTGTCAGCAAATCCAGTTAAAAGACCAAAACAACAACGTGTTAATTGGTCTCTTAATACTTTGCAACTTCCCCAGGCTGTCAGCGACACCCATTTGTTCCCACTGAAGATATACCGTTTTTTTTTTAAGTCAGAAATATTAATATTTCCTTAAATATCAAGGCACTGCAGTTTTGAGCAAATATTACATTGTTGAGGATTAACTTCAACCACAGATGAAGTAATAGGGAGTCTTACAGTTTACATTGTTAATATGTTTATTTAGTGTATGTTGGATGAAATCAAAATAAACTACAGTGCCCATGTTGGTACATGTCGCCCAGTGTAAAACCTCTCATTGATGTGTTTTAAATAGCTTTTGGACAACAGTTGAGGTCTATGTCACAGAGGAATAAGCTATCTCAGGATTCAGCTTCACTTATATGCTGGTTTAGGTCTTTTATGTGATTTTATGACTGTAAGTAAAAAAATATCAAATAACTAGACATTTTAGTGGAAGTGGAATCTGATCATATATGAGACTCCCTTAATAACTTTAGGATTGCTTTCTGTTACAATTGTACATGTCAAAACTACACCAGCAATTTACATGTATGCTTTTGTTCCTGAATAAAATCAAACTCTTTGACACGAGCAATCATTTTATTTGAAAAAAGTGAATTGCTATATACAGTACGTAAAAAAACATGAGATCAGGCCTAAAACATTTCTTGTCTTTTTGCCTTTCAAGTTCATCTCATACAGTCCTGTTATAAAAAACAGGAGAATCCACACACCGTCAGAGCATTCCTGTACAGCATTCAACAGAGGACAAATAAAAAAACATATTACAATATCATCGTCACTTTTTCATCATCAGTGTGATCAGATATAAAACCTAAACCAGTAGATTTGATATCTGATAGCAGTGATATCAAACATTGGTCTCAAAACACACACAATAAATGTGTTTTTCCTCCTTGTGTGTGTATATACGTCTTCCTGTTATATCGTATGGTGTTACAATTAATGATTCAGTGTTTTTTGCTGACTAAAGATCGCCCCCTGTTGGACCACAGTGGGAACTGGCACATGGCTCCTCACCTCTGTACAGCTGACCCCGAATACGGTTTAGGCTAGAAAGCGGGACAATCAAACATCCGTTTAAGGATCTCTGATATGATATGTTATTAATTATTTCCAGTTTGATTGATAATACTTCCATTCATATATAGATTATCAATTTGGATTTAGGAAGAACGAATGATAGACGTTTTTAAAAAAGAAGGTGATGTAGGAAGCAAAAAGTGGAAAACATTCTGAATGGGTGTCTGTTCCTCAGGGGTCTCAGCCCTTAGTTGAAATGATTGCATAGCTCTGAGAGTTGGCTCCAGCCCCTCTCAGG